GTCATGGTGGTGGCAGTCAATTTTGATTTGATTTGGTCGGCTTTGTTTGCAGCGTCTTTGGTTTTGTGCGCATTGTGGAAGCGCAGCGTAGCATGTATATATTGGCTTCAAAAAACGACAATAAACAGTTGGTAGTCTGCACTCTTTCCTGTCTCTCTTGTTTTTTCTTCAAGTTTGTGCAGCAATTCAATTTTTCAAGCGAAAATGAAATGTGGCCACGTAACACAAGTGACTTTGATAAAAGATCGAATTGACTCATCAAAAACGGCTGATTACCGACAAATTAAACAAAGAGAGAGTAGCAGTTATTGAAAAACAGTGCCTACAAATTGGCACAGAACTTGCACAACTTTGGGGGAGACATTTTTGTGTAGCCGCCAGCGCTGCCTTGATCCACTCGCGCCACCACCACCGCCATCTGAAACTCCTGAAAAATATAACGCTGCTAATCAAGTGGCGCACGGGACGGCTCTATGCTCTCCCATAGTAGAGTACGATGTACTCTAAATCGTTAAACACATTTTCTGAGCACAAGACACTGGTCATGCCCTTTCGTCAAGGTGGAACACGAAAGGATACAACTCATTTTTCGACCGACTTGGTGCTAAGCAGCGCCCGTTGAGTTGTTATATATGATTTCCTTTGTTACAAATTGTGTTTCATTTTGATCTATTGTATCGTTATACCCTTGAATCGTGATAACACATTAAATTTTTGTGTACACGTATGCCAACATAATCATGTATATTAGAGCAAATGTCTTCACTGTAACGTAGTGATGTTAGTCGTGAGATATAGATGTGCCGAAGTGTATGTGCCCTGTTACTGGAATGGTATGAAGCCTTTCTGTTCTGTACATGCTGTAAATAAACTTTTTCTAAACAAAACAAGGCACTTCGATTCCAGTGTTTCCACGGTGTAACTTGTTTTGCGTCCGTCAGAGGTGCACGGGACGGCTTTCAGCTCTCCCATAGTAGAGTGTCTCGTACTCTAAATTGTTAAAAAACTTTTTCTAAACACACACACTGTTGTTACGGGTTTGCAGTAAACTTCGCTGTCTCAATTGTACACAAGTGTCGGGGTGGCTTATTGCTCTCCCATAGTGGAGTACCTAGTACTCTAAATCGTACACCACCTATTCTAAACACACAGTATAAAAATATACTGCAGGCAGGGACGGCATAGTAGAGCACCTAGTGCTCTAAATCATTAACCACTTTTTCTAAACACATATTCAATTGTATACACTGTCTTTACTTGTTTTCGATTTTTTGTTTGTGTCAGTCAGTGCTGTCAAATGTAGGAAAATTTCCCTAGATCTATGGGATTTATGGGGCGAAGCTCCTTATAGTGACACCCGTTCGTCCCTCGCAGAGTCGTAGCGTGTTAACAATTGTTGCATTTTGACCTCCAAGGTGGTGCCGGTGGGAGATTGACCTCCATTTTGACTTCCAAGGTGGTGCCGGTGGGTGGTGCCGGAAGTAGACCTGAAGCGCAAGCCGTAAGAAAGTAAAAGCCGAATTCTCCTGTCTCTCGTTCCCCCTTAGCAGTCATTGGCATGCACATTGAGCACTATCTTACAAGAAAGGGTACCTACGTTATACTCGCTGGGCGTAACCTTCTTGGTTTTCGAAAGGTTTAGCGAGCGCGTGGCCGCAGTGCCATGAATACAGTGAACTAGTATATACCATGAACTCGAGGTGGGTAAAGGTGGGAAGTAGACACGAAACGCAGGCAGTAAAAAAAAGTGTGCGTGCGCCACCTCTCGTTTAGTCCTTGGAATGTCCGCTGGATGGCGGTGCTTCTATATGGGGAATATATGATGAAAAGAGGCGAGATGGTGGTGGTACTCGAAGTGTTGAATAGATGGACGAACGGACACACAGACAGATGCATGGACGGACGCATGAACAGATGCAAAGTCGGATGCATGGACGAACGCAGGGACGGACGCACGAAAACGCACGCACGGACGGTCACACAGATGGACGCATGGACAGACTGAAGCAAGAACGAATGGACGAACGAATGGTTTACCCCACTCTTCATCATTCATTCCGTGGATATGCTGCCAATTTTTTTTTTGTTGTGCTTAGGGGAAAAGAGAAATTTGTCAACATCTAGAAAAAATTTTTCGCTTCCACCTGAAGCAAGCAAATCGACAGAGGGACCTCCCGCCCACAACCTCTTTTTTTTTGTTCCTTCTTCCACCTTTTCCCTTTTATTGCCCCTCTACACTCACCCAATTGCGCTATGCCATCAGTAGCGGTTACGAGGGCTGCAAGGGGGCAACAGGGCTGGTCTCTGTCCCCAATGCTGTGTCAGCGCTCTCCCCTCCCCAACTTCTTTGCGGTTCATTCTGTGCGGTCCGTGTGCGACGTTTATTGCCTGAATCCCAGTTCAAACAAAATAAAACGTGCTCTCTCTCGAGCCCACTAAGAATAAGTTTTTGTTTACACCAATTAACCTCCCATTTTCTCGCCTTTCACCCGCGGCGTTATTTATTTTTTTGCTTTGCTGTTCTTTTGTTATCGGCTTCCCTTCATTGCGAATGCTGTCACGTTGCTGGTGATCTGCCCGGTTGAGCCATGTGGCTCCGCCAAGGTCACCAAGGCTTTTTTGAAAACTGCGGCCAGAGCAGTAGGTTGCATGTATGCGGTTATTTGCACAGCTGAAAAAAGACCTAAGAAAAAAAGTGGCTGGTGGAGGACTGCAAGGATATATTTTAAACGAATATATGGCAGTCAACATTTGCAATAAACATATCCTTTCTTAACCATTTAGAAGGTTGCGAGGGATGAACTGCCACACGGCAAAATATGCTCTCGTGGTTAAATTATTTTTCGTCACAATATCCTGTATCAGATATCATGACAATGCTTGAGAGTGCGTTTTTCAAGACATTGTTTAAAGATATGTAAGCGTTCATCACTCCATGTTTCACACGAACACCACCAAGAATTTTTTGCAGGACACTTGCCAAATAAGAACAGAAATTGCGAAATAGCAGAATTGATGAATTTTTATATCGCGCTCGCCAGAACATTTCACGTACTGCGCCTTTATGCTCGTTCTGGTCATTATTATTATTATTATTATTATTATTATTATTATTATTATTATTATTATTATTATTATTATTATTATTATTATTATTATTACTTTGTCACCTGCATGCTATTACAAGATACTACAAGTCGCCCCCTTCCCATGTGATTTCATCAAATAAAATGTTTAAAGCTTTTCAATTTGTACTGCATCATTTTTTCACCTTAAACAGGGTGACTTTAGTGATATTTTTAAACTCATGCACCATTATATCATAAAAGCGAAATTGGAAATCGTTTTCCAGAGCACAAACACATTAGTCTTCGAAAAACCGCTCCGCATGAAAATCTTGAGAAATCTAGGGATTTTTTTTCTCCGGAGAGGGAAAAAGTGGCTGCGCAGGTTGGCAACACTGGTGTAAGTACAAGTTAAGTATACCACAAACTTCCCTTTCTCAAAAAAAATGTAGTAAAGTGAATACGAAAAAGCTTCGCAGTACAGGCATACCACAGCGCGATAGCTCTACAGCCGCTCTGCACCTTGCAGATACGGAACGGCCAACTTCAGTCGCTAAAAGGTTAGCAATGTTGAATCGCACAGCTGCAACACATTTCTTCCGTTCTCTCCTGTAGCTCGCATTTTTCCCTCACCGCAAAAAAAAAAAAGAGAAACACTTGGCTGCTATGTCTCCAACGATGACACTGGTGCTCTGCGGTGAATTAACTGCACAGCAGTCTAGTCTATTAAATTGAACTTTAATTGCTTACGTCCGAAGTAACAGTAATGCAGATAAACACCTGTACGGACAAAAGACAAACAAACCTACAAACCTACAGCTACAAACCTACGCAGCCGCTAGGTCACAGTAAAACAACGTTGCTGCTAACTGGAACCCTAGTGGTGAATGTACTCGTAAAATTTTATAGACGTAACCATACGAAAGGAACATATGATAAGCCTACAAAGCGAATAACTAAAAAAAAAGAACGAGATAGCTCTCCAACGATGGTACAGTAGTGGATGCAGTTGTGGATATGTGGATGTTAACGCGGTGGAACAGCAGCACACCGCGTAAGGCCGCGCAGAAAATAACCACAGCGAAACAGCAGTTCTTTTCCGCGCAACTGGAATGAACAGAGTAATGACGCAGACAGTGAGCTGAAGGGGCAGACAATATGTCTAAATCCATTACCCCCCACCCTTGACACTCCACTGAACAGCTGTATAGTGTGAGTCTCGGCTGTGCAGCCTGTGCGGATGTGTCTGCACACGACATTGTTGTAAGAACAGTATTTACCATTCCCGTAGAAATTGATTTTTTTCCCTTCAATCATTTCTCGAGTTTCGTAGGTTTCGGGTTACATAAGTTTGAAGCTTACACAAACTAGCGTATGATATCGCGCATTTGTATGACGCTGTAGTTTCGAATTGTCGGAGTGTGATTTTGTATGCTTTCATTTTCGCTAGCTCCCTGCGTTATAATTGCGTTCTCACTCAGTTGTACCCGCATGTCGTAATTGACACTTATAATACAAGTTCTTGTTATTACGTGCCCTCTCTGATGCTTTCATAAGTGTGACACGTTGAAATCATATCAGCGTTTTCATTATTGTGCCTGAACGTTCAACTGATATCACTTCATATTCATTATCATGCTTAAAGAAAATAAATGTTGTTTGGTATTTTCAGAATAGCGTCTTCAAACGACGTCAGCATTTGTCGCAACTCCACATGCGTCATGAGCAACCTCCTTGGGTAGCCACGTGAAGATACGAAAATAGCGTACCGTAGTTAATTAACGCTAACCCCACGTACGCTATTCTTAATCTGTCCAGTATCGTTTGAAATAGTAAGGTGAAAATATACCGGTCGTATGACCCTCACAATCAGGAAATAACGTCCCCAGAAAAAAAAATATCATCCTCGAACATGAAATAAAGCATGGCACTTACCTACAGGATCACGGTCTTGAGCCTACAAAAAAATAAAGAAAAAAAAGCACAGTAAGTCAACATGGAGGAGACAACTGCATTCAAGCGAGCCCCGACACTGTGACAGCACTGCGGAATACACTTTAAACATGAAGAAAAAAAATATTAAAAACTTGCACAGCTGCGGATGACGTACGCGGTGAAACAGCTGTGGACGCTCCTTCTCTATAGGTTCTTCGGATGACGTGGTTTTTGAAGACGCGACGATTTTTGCTAACGTGGTAAACGTGGAGGTATGCGCAGGTGCGGAATGTACGCGTGCGCGATGTGGGTTGTTGTCTCCGCCACCTTTCTTAACTTGTTTTTTTTTTATTGGGGGGGGGGGGGAGGGGTTCACGCTTCGAACGTTGTTTTGTCAGCTGAGCGTCTGACGTGAGAGATTTAGAGGAGACTGACTCGGAAATACCGCTATAAGCCAAGCTGAAAAACAAAGTCCCACGCGCGTGTCCCGTCTTTTCATCCGGGATTCGACGTGTAAGCGCGGATGTATACGGCATTTCGTACAAAATAAAACAAAGCGTTCAGCACCACCCTCCTTGCTCAGCCAAAGACCCGCACACGAAAAATGGAGGGGGACAAGAACAACAAAAGAGAAGGAGGGGAAGTTTACCAGGCACATGCCCGGTTTGCTACCCAACGGTGGGGGAATGGGGAGTATAAAGATAAGAGAGAGAGAGAGAGAGTAAAGAGAAGAGAAAGAGACAAAAAAAAAAGGATTGTCTGTCAACGGGCTGACGCGTATGCAGTGGTAGCAGTACACAAAAGTTAACAAAAATTACAGAGAAAGATAACGACCTCTGTGCCTATCGGGTAACAGGAGGCAAGCAGTGATTGGGGTGTGCACGTTGTATTTATTTATTTATCTATTTGGTTTCCTAGTTACTGAGCTAGTTATTTTCTTTATATTCCTTTCGTCTGCATAGCGCGCATTGCTCCCTCCAAACTTCCGAACTGCCCCGTCATAATGGTCTAGTGGCTAAGGTACTCGGCTGCTGACCCGCCGATCACGGGATCGAATTCCGGGTACGGCACCTGCATTTTAGATGGAGGCGAAAATGCTGTAGGCCCGTGCGCTCAGATTCGGGTGCACGTTAAAAAGCCCCAGGTGGTCGAAATTTCCGGAGCCCTCCACTACAGCGTCTCTCATATTCATATGGTGGTTTTTGGGACGTTAAACCTCACATATCCATCAATCAATCAATCAATCAATCAATCAAACTTGCGAACTGTCTCCTTCTTCCACGCAGAAAAGTAGACCTTCGTTCACGTGTTAAGCAGCAGAAAACATCGGTTGTTGCCGTTATGCTGTCATATGCGGGCCGCAATGTGTTATGGCAACGTGAAATGGCTAAGTTTCAGCGACGAAAGATCGGATTGCCATATCAGAAACGGCACATTGCCATACGGGAATCGGCGAGCGCTCCCATAGACACTACGAAGGGGGTCTTCGTTATCACGTCATACAAGTTTTTGACGTCAAACATTGATGTCGTCCGTTCTATGGACGTTTTCGTGACGGCTATTTTGACGTGTCTGGAAAAGCCGGCCACTCTACGTGTCCGATCCTTGATGAAAGAATAATGCTCGACCTCTTTAGTCGCCTGCTGTGAAAAAAAAAAAAAAAACACAACGCGAGAGCGTTCTTTCTAGGAATGCGAATCGTATGCCGTTGTAAACTTGACCGTTAAAGTTGGTATTTAATGCTCCTTCATGGAAACTGACAGTGCTGCGGAAGAAAAAAAAATGAAAGGGCATTGCACTCCGCCAAGGAGAATGAACATCAAAGCTGTGCAGCACACAAGTATATTTCTCGCATTTATTTTTACACTTATTATGACCTTTTTAATGTACCGTATGGTCCTTTTGTGCAATTACACCTCAAATGATGTAGCCTTTAAGATCAGTGCGCAAGTTATTTGAGCATTTATACATTCAGACGTTTGTTTACTTATTACGCAGTTTACTTTTATTCATACACCTAATCAATTAGTTGTTTATTTCACATTTCTGTTTTCGTTATTAAGAGGCCCTCACCAGTCTGCGTTCAAAGACGACCGAGTGGTTTTCACCTCGCCACTTATTGTTAAAAAGGACGAGGACAATGGCAGTACTAAGCGCTAGAGCCTATAACAGGATTTTGCGCTTGTTACTACTCGCTGTCATTCCCGCTTGCGTAGTCGGAAGCACATCAAGCGAAATGAAAGCAGTTGATCATGCAAGATAGCCATGCGAGACAAGTACGAACGGATTGGTGGCTGCATGGCAAAGATGTGCTGAAAAAGATTCACACCTGTTCTTTTTTTTTTGTTTTTTCGCCTATATGGACCCTTCGAAAGTATGTACTAGATAGACGTCACAGTAATCACCTTTTCCCGCGTTACCAAGCGTGCTAGAAAGACGAGAAATGCCAAGAGGGAATAATGCACTCAATTTTCTTTTTTTTGTATTTGCAGAGCCTGGTGAGGGGCTTTTTAAAAAAATCACCAGCCGAGCACTCCGTACAAATGGTTAACCAGCGAAAGCTTAAACGTTCGGCCCCGGTGTTTAGAGTTAGATTCACCCCGACATAGCGCTGAAGCCTTTCACAATTGTTGGTTACATGTTCGTGTATATTATTGAGGTTAGACACATGTGTGGCTTGAGTTTACCGCATTCTTTATTTCACATGTCGCACATTGTGCCTCGCATGATCACGGTCACGGAGGAGTGTAATGGACGGTTAAGTGCGTTTCGCAATGCGTTAACCCCAGTGGTTGTTCTCGAACCACAGGCGGTGACAGACGTCGCCGCCAAAGCCAACGTGCCACTGAAGAAACTACCGCCAAAATAAAGCGTTCGCCACGGGCGAAAGCGATTCCACATTCATCACATTGACGCCGCAACGCCCCAGGGTTGCAAGCGTTTTACATCACGAGCCAACTGGGCGGCGTGGTTAACAGGATCCGCCCGCCAGCGGCGCTTGCGTTCCCGTTCACAATTTAGCGCGGCTTCGAAAGCTGCGTCATCATCGGTGCGCTGTTGCTGACGGCACTGGGCCTCCCGGGCCTGTTGTCGTGCCAGGACTGCGCCATCGGCCTGGCGAACGCGGGCTTTCTCACGTTTCCACTGTCGGCGCTCTTCAAGGGTAAAGTCCCTTCATTAGAGAAAGTACCGACACTCTCCTCTATATCTTCTCCGAAGTGTCCAACCCTCCTCTCCAAAGTTTCCGCCCCGCCGTGGTGGTCTAGTGGCTAAGGTACTCGGCTGCTGACCCGCAAATCGCGGGTTCAAATCCCGGCTGCGGCTGCTGCATTTTCGATGGAGGTGGAAATGTCGTAGGCCCGTGTGCTCAGATTTGGGTGTACTCAGAAAGAACCCCAGGTGGTCAAAATTTCCGGAGCCCTCCACTACGGCGTCTCTCATAATCATATGGTGGTTTTGGGACGTTAAACCCCACAAATCAAATCTCCAAAGTTTCCAAACGTCATCTATATCATCTCCCGAAGGGCCACCGTGCAGGCGCCGGCCCTTTAACCCGGCTCGCGCCAATTTTCTATATATTAGTGTCGTATTACTACAGTGCATGTTATTGAACGCTTTAGCAATTGTATAATACGTGTCTTTTGAATTCTTTTCGTTTGTTTTGTGTTCTTTTCAAATAACTATTGTATAGTCCCCCTCACATAATGCTCCTACTTGAACCTTGTGAAGTATTTGTAAATCAATCAATCAATCAATCAAGGATGTTATGTCACGCTGATAACACGCGCGATGTTTATGGCAGCCCTAGAGGTGAGAGAGGAGGATGCGCGGCGCGGCGGCTCGGGTAAAAGAATGACGGTACTTTTCTAAAAAAAAAAAAAAGATCCAGGGACTTTACTCAAGAGTGGCCCGCCGCATACACATGCGGAAGGTTCTAGAAGAAACTCACGCGCGCGTGCTCAAGGCCACGGCGGTTGCAACGACGTCACTCGTGACGCAGCCAATGGCGCGCGTGCTTAGCTACGACGCTGCGAACGGCGCAACCAATAACACAGCCAACGGAGACCGTAAGTGACACCGCTGCCGGACGGCTTTTCGTTACTCCTATAGCCGTATACAGCTTTTAGTGTAATAGAGAAGCTTCTCATGCCCGAAGTAAAAGGTCGGGTTACCAACTGGCCCAATCGTCCACCTTGATTGGTCCGCTGAAAACCTTACACACCGTTTCTTATTAGCCGCGCCCACCAACGAAAGACAGACAGCCCGCGCTGCTACCACGCCCAGTTTCGCGGCGTGGCGCGATCCGAGTGACGAGCGACGAAAGGTCCTCGCTTCTGCCGTGAGTGCCAGAGCCGGCATTGCATGTTACTTTCGGGCGCTGGAGTTGGGACACTCTAGCCCGGTGTGCGACACGCTGTGGTTCGACTCTATATACTGTGCGTACACCACGGAAAGACGACCTGTACCATCAGTCAACATGGCCACGTTAAGCCCCTATGATCGAACAGCTACGCTGTTAAGATTTAGTGTAATGTTCTATCTCTTTTATTTACTACTACTACTACTACTACTACTACTACTACTACTACTACTACTACTACTACTACTACTACTACTAATAATAATAATAATAATAATAATAATAATAATAATAATATTAATAATAATAAATTATTATTATTATTATTATTATTATTGTTGTTGTTGTTGTTGTCGCATCTGGTGTTTAGCACGCAAAAACGACGTTATCATTATCCGCCACACTGCAGAGGGTGGCTCAAGAAATTTCGACAATATGGTGGTTCCTTAACGTGCATTAAGTTTAAGCACACGGGCCTGTAGCATTCCACGTTTGGCGAAATGCGGCCGCCGCAGTCGGCATTCGATTCCGCGACCTCATAGTCAGAAGTCTAACACCAATAAACAATAGACCGATACCACGGGCGAAACCCACGACCTCTTGCTTAGCAATATCGGCGCACGCATACACAAGCTAACGCGGTAGGTTTTCCCACCACTAAG